AAATCGGAGAAACCGGAAAATATCAGGAATTTTGGCCGATCAGGAAAATCGGAAAAATCGGACGTTTGATCAGGAATTTTTCGTACGCTAATCTCCTCAGCGGAGAAAGTCTTACTGCTTTTTGCCTACCGCGCCAGGAGTCGAGAAAAATCAGGAAAATATCAGGAATTTTCAAAACGAAAAAATACTAGACACCCTGGGATAAGTCAGGGAAACTTGTATGGTCTTAGTTGAAATTGATAGGGAAAGCCAAGGGTGTCTGCAAGTCCGGAAATAGCACTGATTTTTTAAGGGCGGTCCGGAAGTACTGAAAAAGTGCGGAAATTACGCATAAAGGTCCGGAAATTTTCCTATTTTTTGTCATTTTTGTCGCGATTTCATATTTTTGAAATTTTGTCAAGTGGAGGCACTGAGAAAGAACGGAATTTTTCCGTTGGAGGAGGTACTGAATTTCTCGAGAATGCACTGGAAAAGCACTGTTAAAGTACGAATTTTTGACCAGCCCGTTTTAGTAGACTTGACACCCTGCGAAGCTATGTGAAAGAAGACAAAAGGTATATGTAGGGCTCCCATTCTGCCGTGCTAAGCAGAGACCTATATGTTAAAAATTTCTTATTTAATCAGTTCATCGTTCAACACCGCAATGTGCCGGCTTTGCGTTCGCGTTCGCGTTATGGAACCCGAACGGAAAAGGCTCCTAATGAGTTTGGGTTTTTGATCGTGAACCGTTCGCGGAAAGGTCTCGGTCGGGTTTTCGATCCCGAACGCATTGTCAATCGAATCGGTTCGAAATTCGGAACTTGAACGAATAAGCGGCCGACTGCGTTTGAGTTCAAATAACTCATACCAAAGACCTGACCATTGCTATCAGTTCAGCTATACTAATGCCATAACTCATAACGCCGCTTTTCGTTATGCGTTACAGATCTAGAACCTCGCCCAGCTCCGTAGCGTTCTGAGTTACTCTATGCCGTGCGGCCGTTGATGCTCTGCACCGGTCGTCCCTCCCCCTCGTCTCTCACCCCGCTTCAGGCTGCCCGTGGCCCGCTGTTTTCCCAGTGCATGCCGCGTTTGGGTGGATCATCTTTTTACCTGTAGACATTTTTTTTAGAGCTGTTTTCGTTCCCACCCCCTAACTCGATCCATTCCGCTTAAAAATGACTCATTGCCAGTGAAAAAAAATTAGATTGATGGGAACATTTTAAGCTTTGCCTACTCGAGGGTTTATAGTCGCTTATACCCAAAATAATGGTTCATATAGAGGGACATTAAAAAAGCTTTGCAAAAAAATCATTTTTGTCTTATTGACTTAAATTTTTTGGGTGCTTCGCAACTATTTCTTACGGTAGAATGCAAATATGATAGCTATTTTTTGCTACGACATCAGGCTTTTTTTTTAAAAAAAATTGAAATTTTCCTTGAAAATCGCGATTTCTTAATGAAAATTCAAATTTCACAAAACCATCCGTGTACTTGGAAAGGAGCAAGACAGTATGTAAATAAGACACCTATAAAAACAACAGTTGTATGTAAATATTATATCGAAGGCTGAAGTACAGAACCCTTCATCTCCTTTGCTGTGTTTCAAAATATTTGCTCCCATTTTATTTTTTTTGGAGAGGAATAAGCCACCCATAATAGCTTGAATTTTCTAGGGAATATGCTGCTTATCGAGAAGTAAAATCACGGCAGTTTTCGAGACATTAAGTCGACTAGTTTTTCAATTAAAAATCAAGTATATGAAGAGAAGTCTGCAACGTCGCTAACAGACATACGTGGTTTCGCACCTTGGCCATCGATATGGCTCAAAACATTATTCTTCTTCCTTTGATTATGCATTTTCTTCGAAAACTCGGTCACATCACTGGGTACAAGAGAAAAATGATTGCAGAGGAAGAATAAAGATACGAGAAAATAGAAGTAAAACAAAATGTTAACATTAACCGCTGTTTGTTATGCATCATACTAAATTGAGTCGACGAACAGTTTAAATTTCTGGCACATTGGTTTGCATAATTAACTGCCTTTGACCGTGCAGGGGTCTAAAAACTGCCTAACGATAGTATAGTTCGAGTTCCGAATCGCTATGAGCACACTTGTGTTTTTTTCTCACAGCTTCATCGTACATACATTTCTCTCCTGTTTTTGTTTCATTCTATCTGAATGAATAAGTAATTATATCCTCATTTAATTTCCTTCCCCTTTCATTTTTTGTACTATCTGTGTCCATTTATAATTATTATTTTAAAATAGCCTTCCTTAGTATACAGTTGATGCCTCAAAAAATGAACAAAGGATAGCATAAGACACAAATTGCGGAACGAATTTTCTCAGTGGTTACTGTTATCACGCAAACTTGCGGGGACTGATCGCAGCCTGCCGAAAAACAATATGCGCAAGGGAAGCCAGCCAGTCGTCCGGGCTCGGGAAAGCTGAACTCATAACGCGCCGGACTCTTTTGAGTTATGGTTTCTGAACTTGAACGAAAAGGCACGCCTTTTCGTTCGAGTTCGAGTATTTGAACGAGAAAGCGGGGTGTCGCGTTTTCGGTAAAGATTTCAATAGCGAAGCATGCAGTATCCGGTCCCGATCATTAACGCGACCGCGTAGAGGACGGATTCCGTTTGCTACCTGAATCTGTAACCGGAAGACAATGGTAAGGGTTACCGATCATGATTTCGAACGCATCCCGCCCGCTAATGGGTCAGCGGTACGGAACTGCTCACTGATGCCAAAGATTGTAACGAATACGGCTTGAGGGAATAGATCTCTGCCCTAAACTTCCCAATAGGGCGGGTAGTGGAGCTCATGGACCTTGAAATTCAGAGTCCTCGGGGTCGATTACCTGGGAAACCTTCTTTTTCTGGAGAATCGACGTCAATTTTGCGACCAAGAGGAATTCTGAGAAATTTTTGGCGGAGCGAGGCCCCCTTCCTCAGGGGGTTACTTTCTGCCGTTCAGGGGGGTCAATTAGAACTCTTGGGGGTCACGTAAGATGTAAATTGTTCTGCTCCTCAATTTGGATGCACTCAATTTGCAATTCGGAAAGGAGCCCCGATTTTTAAAATTGGGCTCCCCCGTTTACTCCCCAAGGGGGGCTAGAGGAGCTTCGGGACCATGAAATTTGGATTTCTCGTGGTCGATCACCTGGGAAACCGTCTTTGTCTGGAGAATCTACGTCAATTTTGAGACCAAAGAGAAATTTTGGAGGGGGGTACTGTCCTCCTCGCTTTAGGCGGTCATTTTTGGGCCTTGGATGGGCCGATTCTGGATTTTTAGTGGTCAATTTCACGTGAAATTTTTCGTGATTTTCAAATCTGATGCGATTTATCCGCAATTTGGTCGGGAACCGTGACTTTCAGCATCGTAACTCCCTTTACCCCCTACGGGGGGTGGGGGTGGGGGGGTTTGGGACCAAGAAATTCGGATTCCTTGGGGTCGATTCCCTATTCAACCCTGCGGTTCGTACGACCTAAAACAACCGAGAAAAAGGCCTGGTACGAGTGGTCTGAAACACCCTGTATGTAATATGAGTACATTTTTCTACAATATTGTATAATTTTTTAAATATTTTGCAATGCATGTTCATTATTCATCAATCAATTTTTGTTTTGTCTGTCATCTTATATATAAAGCAAAGGTCAGTTTTGACGGTTTTCACGAAATTGGGGTCAAATCGTCCGTCCGATCTTCCCTTAAATTTGTATACCGGTCCTCCCCGGTTCGGTGAGTGACACTGGCTATTTCAATTTTCTCCCTGTCCTGATTTCGGGATTTTATCTTCAAAAAATGGGAAAATTGGGGAGAGGAACGGGCCCACGGTTGCTAAGTAACCGCCGCTGCAGCATCGCCGTATTGCGAGTATCGATACATGGTATTATCGATACATGCGATTTTCGATACATGCGATTATCAGTTTGATGTATGTGTTGTGTTTGATGTGTTTGTTATGTTTGATGTGTTTGTGTGTGTTTCATGATGTGTTTGATATATTTTTTTGTGTTAGGCCGTGTTTGATTGTGTTTCATGAAGTGTAGTAAAGGTCGGTTTTGACAGTTTTCACGAAACGGGGGTCAAACCGTCCGTTCGATCTTCCCTAAAAATTTTTTTTTTGTGATTGTGTTTCATGGTGTGTTTAGTGTGTTTGTTGTGTTTGATTGTGTTTCATGATGTGTTTGTTGTGTTTGATTGTGTTTCATGATGTGTTTGTTGTGTTTGATTGTGTTTCATGATACAACAAACACATCATAAAATACAATGTTTATACTGTGGAATCAAGTAGGTAAGTACATGAAGCTTCTGCTTATGAGTGTCGCTCCAATGTACTCTGATGTTTTGCGTGAAGCAAAAAAAGGGCTAAAAAATTCCATTATGGCGTGACGGTGCCGGTGCCTAAAGCACTTCTTTGTTACATCAAAATGGAAGAAGGTGACACTCGACTGATCAGTTTTAAGTACCTACCCTGTAAGCAGGCCTACGATTTCATTGAAGCAAGCACCATTCGAAAAATTGGTTCGGATCATGAGAATGTGAACCGATCCTCATTCTAAAAATATTTTGTGATGACTTTTAAATCAGTTCAACCCACGTCCCAGTCACACCAAGCCTGCAAAAGTACCGGCACTGTCACGCCATAATTTCATGTTTTTAGCCCTTCCTTTGCCTCAGGCAGAAAAAGACAGAGTAAACTGGACTGGATTCCGAAGTATTAAAAAAGGTGGAATTAGGGAATACAGAAAACTGTAGAAAAACTGAACCTCAAATGGTATCAGCAATTTTGAGGTTTGAAGCTGATAGACTGGTAAGATGAATAAGGAAAGTCCAGCGATTTTGTAAAGGTACCTCATTCCATAACGAATCCTCGCACCGGGCAATCAAAATTGCCTCGCAGACAAGCCAGTTGCGTTAGCAAACTGAAGGTGATTGTAACTGCAATTAAGTTTTCATAATTTTGCTGAAGTTTTGAAACGTCGAGGCTAAGATCTTGACCTCAAATTATACTAAACATTTTGAGGTTTGAAAACGAAAGCACTTGTTGAGATTTTAGAAGTTCCCCCCCCCCCTTCTTCCAAATGCATGATCCGGTGCTGAAATCTCATAGTCTTGACGGGACTTTTACCTTTTGGTGGTTTTAGTTTTACCTGGACGGTCGGCACGATTCGCAACTGTCGGTTTTGAACAGCACTCAGATTCCTGATGATAGCCAGGATTTCCGAGCACTCACGCTTGTAGTTTTCAAAAGAACTTCTAATGTTTGTCCTTGCATCTTCCACACTTCTCCGGTCGTTCATCGATGCGAGGCATCTCTGTTTCGCAGACTGGAGTTTGCGAGTGGCCTCCGCTTGTGACTGCCAATCCGGCGTTTGCTCACCAAAACTAACTCTGTTTAGTTCGTTGAGGAGTGCTGAGTACCATACTTCCACCAATCTCACTCGCCGTAAGAGGTACGACTGGCAGATGATGTTTCGCAAGAGAGCAGGATGAGACACTATGAACGTGGCCTGAAACGGATAAGATAAAATTGTTGTTGGTGTTTCTCGAATACGATATCCAAAAGTGTATGAACAGCAGAAAGTAACTAATTACAGTTCACAGCAGCCACTTTTGCCGAATAACTAAATGGCGCGTATACGTAGTATACCGCCTTTGCGATCGTTTCGACCCCCCACTCGTAGTAGGGTGGATAAGGGGAAAAAGCTCCCAGATCGTGTATTTCTCGAAGAAAGCATGAAACTTTCAGGGTATCATCTTTACCTATAGAAGGTTCAATTTCGCAAGTGAGCCCAAAATTCTGAGGCCATGGGGGCCGGGGGGGAGGCAGGGGGCCCTGATTTCGCTATATGTTTTGCCGAATTTTCGCGTTGAATCATTGTTAGAACACCGTTAACAATGTAAAATGTTATCAAAACTTGTGTAAACGTCATTGGTAGGTTTTCTGAAACAGTATCCGTATCACTGTCTGATCCCGGAGCACCCCTTAAAATCCTGATTTTCAAAATGGCGCCCATAATAAGGCCTCCGAAATATCGGTATTTTCACTTGTGCATATCCTGTCATGTGAGGTATTAATTTCCATGTAATTTTGGTCGTAGATTTCATATTTGAAGTCAAAACAACCCCCCAGTCAAAATTGGTGCCCCCAATCCAAGATAGCGGCCAGATTTGAAAGGCAGAAGGGTGCATTTTTTAAACTTTTACGTAATGAGGCAATTGATATGTCATTTCCTATGTAATTTTGGTCGCAGATTTCATTCATGAAGTCAAAAGAGTCCTCCGGTCAAAATTGGTGCCCCAAATCCAAGATGGTGGCCAAATTTGAAAGGCAGGAGGGTGCATTTGTTCAAATTGTTACGTGATAAGGCAAGTGATACGTCATTTCCTATGTAATTTTGGTCGTAGATTTCATTAATGAAGTCAAAAAAGCCCTTTGGTCAAAATTGGTGCCCGAAGTCTAAGATGGCGGCTAAATTTGAAAGGCAGGAGTGTGAATTTTTATGAGAAAAATATCACGTGAGATGGCAAGTGAGGTATCAATTTATACGCATTTTTAGTCAACAAAACGAATTTAAATGAAATGTAAAATGTACGTTGCCGTCCCGGTATTCGGTGGGCCCCTTTCATGGGGCCGTGGGGTTTTGGGGGTTTTGGTGAGCCTCATGATGGGGGCACTGTAGCGAATTGTTCCCCTCAACATAAAAAAAAAACCTTCTATAGGTAAAGAGGATATCCAGAAAGTTTCATGCTTTCTTCCAGAAATGCACGATTCTGGGAACTTTTTCCCCATATCCGCCCTACTAATGAGCCCACTTTTGGCGCGTACGTAGCATACCGCCTTTGCATCGTTTAGACACCCTACTCGTGTCGAGTGCTTTGCTTACCGGAAAGTGACTGGCGTGGGATCGTCCTGAATCCTTCTTAATACACCATTTTATGTTTGAGCTGCAGCGATTCCAGTTTTTAACGTAACAATCAGATTTGTAAATGATGAAGAATAGCTGGATGTACATGATTTGGTATTAATAGAGGCATTATATTGACGGCTAATCTCGGGGAACATACATCTCAATTTGCGACGTCGTATACTTCTCGTCATACTTTGTCCTTTATTGGAAAAGTAATCAACGTACTAAATGTTTTGTAAACCAGTGTGATTTCACTTCTGCTCGAAGAAAATTCTGTGAAATTTGCATTTATTATGTTATTTTTAGATGCTTAATTACAGAAAAAAAATCGGATTATGACCGTTGAGAGTTAATAATATTTGGTCTGCCCCAACGCGACGCAGCGCCTCCCTACTGACTTTGTGTCTGCTGTTTGTCTGCTGTTGATATTAACAGAAATTTGGCAATCAAATCAAATTGACCAATGCCACAATCGAAGCCAGAAGAATGAGGAAAAATTGAGTAAAAACCTTATACCTTGGATCTCAACCTTGGGATATCCCCATTCTATAGGGATGCACCGTTCCTCAACTCTTGGAATGAGGAGCCCTACACGAGGGTTTCCATTGTTTTATTGTTTATTAGAGTCAATCAGGTAGAATCCCACACCTCGACGTTTCTAGCGGAAACGACATTTCTCTCGCTATTAACATTGGACGTAAGTGACATGAGCTTTAAAACCTCAACAACATTAAAAGTTCGGGGTTTCATAATTCTATGCACACCTACAGCTATTACAGATGACATACATGTAAGGATCATCCTCATTGGTCCGGTAGTTCGTCAGAAAGAGTGCTTCCAAGATTTTGCTTGTAGCTGTATAATATAGACTTCCAAAAAAAACAAAACAAAAATGTTTTACAAAATCTCGGCCCAATCCAAAACATGTCACTAAATACCTAAAAAAATATATAAAAAAAAAATCAGGCACCCAAAAAATATAATAGCAGTTGGTACCGTTTGGCATTATCATTTAAAAGGAAATGATATCAAAACGGCCCAATTTTCTCTTTCATGCCCATGCAATATACTATACACGACTTTTGATTCGTCTTTTTGATTCTGTGTCAGAAGTTGATTGAATCAACTAATCTGCGTGTTTGGATAAAATTCTTCAAATCAAGGTCTTTCATATTGACCTCTGCAGAAGGTATGTATCTATACTACTTTTTCATTGGTTTGATAAAATTGAGATGCTAACTAATGCAGGATATCCTTGATGATAACCATATATTGGCTAAAATGTGCAGTACCTGGAGACGCAAACTTGCCGTCATTGCTTACCGCATATCGACGGTGAAACTACCAAACCACGTATCTCGGTTTGCGACGTCGCAGACTTCCTGTCATACTTTATTTTTTAAATGAAAAACTACTTAACATCCAGTCTTGAAAATTTCTGTGATTTTTCCTCTTTGTGCGGAGAAAATTCCGTGAAAATTTCAAGGAATGATATTGATTTGGTCTACTTCAAAAAAATAAAATGTGAGCGTAGATTTTTAAACACCGCAAACGAGATACGTGGTTTGGTAGTTTCACCGTCGATATAGGAGATAATACAGAGTTGCTGTTCAATATAAAACATCAGCGACTCATGACCTCTAGATTATCTGAGTCCTCGCCTAACAAATTTTATCCACTATGAGAGTGCGACAGAAAATTAGCTGTTTCATTTCATCACGGAAAATGGATACAATAATCAATTCTCTGGCACACCCTGAAGGTACGTAGAACGCACTCGATTGGAACTTTAGATGACCGGAGCTGACAGGTTAATGAAAACAATCAATCGAGACTCAGACAGCTAAAAATTTAAGTCATGGCGACTAAAATTTTTGGCTGCTACAGCGTCAATATCCACAGACTATCTCCTTTGATGAAGCGTAAACTGCTCACTTTCCTCAAGATAACGAATGCCAGAGCTTCAAAGGCATCTCTCAGGAAACAGAAAGTATTGATACCTACTTACTTTGTCAACCACTGTCTTGGTGAGGCAGTATCCTGCATCCTCCATGTTATTACTGCTGATTAAATTGTAGGTCAGAGAGGCTGGCTATTCGTAGTATAGATGATGGAACACATTATTGACTTACCTGCACTGAGCTACAGAATTTAGTTTGCATTCTATCATCAGCTTGATAGAAGCAAAAGAGAGGTGTCAAAGTAGGATATAAAATTCAGCCCTGTGTAGGAGATGTCTCTACGATAAAATGCTGAGCATAGGTACAATACAAAACAGACGGACAATGCAGAGTCATAAATCACAAGTGGCTCCTAAGTTGTTGTTCATCTTACTCATTGCCTAAAAAATTCCTTCAGAATATAGATGTGACAGAATAGCGATTGCTTTACTTCATCATTGTAAGTATAACCAAGAATTCTCCGTTTTACCCTGATAGCCATTATTTTGAACTTTGACCGGCCGCCATTTTGTCAAAAATTAAGATTTTGAAAAGCGGTTTAAGCCAAAAATTTTATTTTCTTATCCTCTTTCGATTGATGTGTCACAAAGGGGGGGTTGCTATTTGAAAAAAAAAGTTGGGGTCCGTGGCCCCTTCCCACGGGGGGGCCCCAAAATTAGCTAACATTGATCGATGAATATCCCCAAAGTTTCGTTTCAAAATATTAATTAGGTAAAAGAACCCCGCACAGAACATGGGCTCAGCGGCTCTCTATGAAAGTCGATGAAACGTTAATAGATTGATATAAAGGTCATAATTAAGGGAAAGCCAAAAAATTAGCTCACTTTTGCGAGTAGAAGCCGAGATATTCGCGATTGAACCCGGACTATTTTCTGTGCGGCGGAGGTAAATTCTCCGTGTCGCCTTACCTTGCTTGAGCACTTCAGCCAGGAAACCCCCTATCCCCACCAAGTAACTACGATGTCGCTTTGTTTACACTCACTCCTTTCATTAGGACGCTCCGTCCGGGTTGTGCGATATGTAGTTCCCTGCTTCTCGCACGTCTCCCGTGCCGGCACCACCGGCGGCAGGTTTAATCTGAAATGTAGTTGCTGAAACAGAATTGACAGAAGCGGGGAGAGGGAGATAGTACGGCATTCGCACCGGCCGAGCGCATAAGCAAGCACCTATCTACACGTGAGTGACGTGAGGTCTGATCGAGAACGCCGAACGAGAGGAAAGGGGACTCGGAATTCCTCCGTCATGCTGCGGCATGATAGAAAATAGTCCGGATTCAATTGCGAATATCTCGGCTTCTACTCGCAAAAATGAGCTAATTTTTTGGCATTTCCTTAATTATGAACTTTATAACAATCTATTAAAATTTCATCGACTTTCATAGAGAGCCGCTGAGCCCATGCTCTGTGCGGGGTTCTTTCAGAGGGGGTGGAAGGGACTTTTGGGACACCCTATATAGCGTTGCAATGTTATTACTGATGATGAAATTGTAGCTCGGAGAAATTGCGATTCGAATGGTCAAAGGACCTGGCAGGCCCATTATTTAGAGGAATTTAGTTTGCATTCTATCATTAGTTCCTTGGAATCCATAGAAAAGTGTCAGATAATGTAGGACAGACAAATTAGCGCTAAGTGTAGGTGAAGTCTGTACTGTAAATCCTGGTTTCGTGCCTACCGTACACGGAAGATGGAACATTACATAAAAGTCCTATATTGGAAGTGGCTCCCAAGTTGATGATTATAGGGGTTCTTGCCCGATACATTCACCCACTTTGAAAGTGACAGAAAATTGACGGGTTTATTCTCATGAAAGAAAACCCATTATTCATTAAAATGACACTCTTCTTTTCACACTGTTGCACGTTCAAAATCAATCGGTCAGTGTGGACTCTAATTGACCGGAATGGGCAAATGGAGAATCATAATGATGAAAGTTATCAGAAAGTTTCATTGCAACAGGTCGATTATTGAAAGTTTGAAGCAGTCTGATAAGACATCGAAATGCGATATATTACTGCATGGTTAAGATAGGGCTGTCTTGCCTTGTCGTACCTACTGACATAGTTTCAATAATCAGCTCGCAGTTGAGAAAATTTATGTCATCACAACTAAATTTTATTGTGTACCATTTCCTTATGGACGGAAAGATTTAACGTAATTATCAAGATAATTTTATATGTTGTCTTGGTAGGAATGTACAGAGTTAACAAAGTAGGTAGCATCTTTTCGTTTCAAGCACATCGTGCCCTCAGTAATAAGAGAATCATGAAAGAAAACTCACTCACAACCAAAAAGGTAAGTACCTAAAGAGAGATTCATGCAAAATTAAGAATCGTCACTTTGGAAGCATTATTCTTCGCGGCGGCATAAAATTGAAAACGTTTTGTGCGTACAATGAGAAAACCATCCAAGAATTTATATTGTAATTAATTTCAGAAATGACATGACAAAGAAAAAGAGAAAAAGGCCAGGAGAAATTGCAATGGTATTCTGCTGCAATCCCCGAAATTTCGGAACTAAATAAAAGCATAACCTCTTTCCATCGCTTTCCTATAGTTTCTATCATAACCAATGAGAATTAAGCATTACTAGAGTAGATCGTGATTACGTCAAGTGACCCAACTTGGTCACAATTTTTATATGGACCTGCGGTTTTTTTCTGTGACGTACAGGGTGTGCCATAAATTTGGATCCTTGTTATAGATGTCTCGAGAACTATTTCATATTTTTGACATACGATTTGAACGAAACTTCCTTCAAAAATGGTGGGCCGCTTTTAAGTGTCATTGGGGGAGGGGGGAGCGTCGTTACCTCTCTGCCTCCCGCCCCGGGCCAAATTTTAAATTTGGAATGGGAACTCTCCTTGTCTGACAATTTGTAGAAGTCATACCAAAAATACGCGATATCCTTACAAAAAAACAAAAATAAGATTTTTGTTCATAATTTCGGCCCAATCCAAAAAATGTCACAAATTACCTAAAAAAAAAGAAAAAAAAACCGGACACCCAACAAATATAATAGCAGTAGGTACCGTTTGGCTTTATCATTTAAGAGGAAATGATATCAAAACGGCCCGATTTTCTCCTTCATGCCCATGCAATATACTATGCACCCCAAAGTTTTTCGCACAAAAATATCAGATACCTATAAGGTACGATGGCCTGAACACGTTTTGACTCATCGCTATAAAGGAGTATGATATCAAATCGGCCCAACTTCTATTAAATGTGCCCATCTCTATTCAAAAACTTTTTCGAGACCTTCCGACTCATCGTTGAAGAGACACTGATCATTCCTTATATATGTCCCTATTTGGATGTCAAAGAGATCCTTATGAAAATGGTAATGAATTTTTTTTCTTTGAGGAGATTAAAACAGAGAACCGTCATAAAATTGAAAAGAAGTTTGAAGAAGAAAAAGGAATGGGCCGGCCAGCACGTAAAAAAAAGTAGATAGATTGGTATGTCCCAACATTTTGACATGGGTGACCGACCCGGTCTTGCCAACATCCATGAAGTTGTTAACAGAGAATTATTTTAAGTAGGAGGTTCATAATATTCGCAATAATACGCCAAAGTTCAGGAGTTGATACAGCGATATTTTTTGTCAGAAGCAAACAGGGAATACGACATTGCTTGAAAGTTGTAAAGTTGCTCACTCTTGTGTGAATATCTTTCAGTAAATGATTAAATGATGATTTCAAGAAGGACTGATCCTCCTTTTGACTATGATACTTGTTCATGTATATGCAAGAGAGTCGATAATCACCCTCTTACCTACCTCCTGAATGCACGGCTAGCCGGCCCATTCCTTTTTTTTCTTCAAATTTTATTCTCAATGTTATGACGGTTTTTGTTTTCATCTCTTAGGGGGGAGTTCATACCCTATAATGTGAGATTTTTTTTGAAAAAAATATCATTTTTAGTTTTTCATGTTTTCCTATAGCCTGTATCCTCCTGAAGACAATGATGTAATTATTGTCTTTCTACGAGCTTCTGAAGTAATTTTACTAACCTTTTAAAGGTAAGATGTCATAAGAAAAAACTCCCCAAAAATTCGCATAAATTAGCATACCTAAATTAGCGTTCGATTTGGAATGCTGTAACTTAAAATGAGACTGAAATTGCTGAGAGAAGAGAAAGTTAGGCAGAAAGAAGACATATGAGGCTGGAAGGTTCTAGGTCAAACCCACTTTTTGTGAGTAAAATCAGAGCATAGTACTTTACTTTATTCTGAAACTCAAATTTTCTACTTTTTTTATTGAATAATTTTTCATTATCATTCGCTCCTGAAAAGTTTCATTATTAGGTCGTTTTTAAACTTAAAAGATCATAACTTGAGCTGTGTTGCAGCTAGAGACTTATTTTTTTTTTAAATACTCATAAGAGCCTCCTCTACAAGCTATAGGATGGATAATATTGTAACAAAACTTGGCTTTTTTACAAAACAAGTAGAATTCACTGAACCTGTAAAAAAATTACTTTTTCTAAAAAATTTATAAAAAATACCAAGAGTTTTTTCCATAAAAAAATAATCATACATATTGTTCTTTTCCTAATTACCTTTCATTTAAGAAAAAGAGGGGTTAAAGGAGAGCATTAAAGGTCAAGATATGGTTGTTCCAGAGAATGCCTCTTTTTTCACTAATTTATTGTTTTCTTGAGATTGACTGCACATTATGGGCTGAAATTTTGCACACAGTACCCTCTAATATGTACCTAAGAACCCATAAAAGTTGGTGGGTGGGGGTTACTGCTTTCATAAGGACCTCTTTAACGTCGAAACAAGAACATATACTAAGGGCCAAGTAATAATCAGTGTCTCCTCAGCAATGAGGCGGAAGGTCTCGAAAAAGTTATTAAATAGAGATGGGCACATTTCAGAGAAGTTGGGCCGATTTGATATCATATTCCTTTAAAGCTATGGATTAGAACGTCTTCAGGCCATTATACCTTATATAGGTATTTAATGTTTTTGTATGTGAAAAACTTTGGGGTGTATAGTGTATTGCATGGGCATGAATGAGAAAATTGGGCCGTTTTGATATCATTTCCTTATAAATGATAAAGCCAAACGGTACCTACTGCTATCATATTTTTTGGATGTCTGGTATTTTTTCTTTTTTTTCTTTTTTTTTAGGTAATTTGTAACATTTTTTGGATTGGGCCGAAATTATGTTCAAAAATCTTATTTTTGTTTTTTTGGAAGGATTATTAAAAGTAGCATTCCCTAGAATACATTTGATGCTTCAAACGGAACTAATTTGCTTGAATAACATTTCCGGCAAAAACAGGAATTCTAAGGAAGGCAGCCTCTCGTTCCTCCCAGACTCTTTTGTTGCCAGATAAGTGGCTTTTTCAGCACTTTTTCAGTTCAACCCATGTAAAATATATTCACATCAATCGCACATTCTGGGAACCCTACCGAACTCGAATAAAAGGAGGATGGGGAAGAAAGGCGGGGAAGAAGAGTGAAAATAAAAAGGTGGACTCGACTAAAAGGTGGAATTCTTCTAGTCTTATATAGATTAATGATATTGTTATTAATACACTTTTTGAATATTTTGCACTAAGTATTTACTTACTTGTATGACGAATGCGCAGGCAAACACCACCCATTCACAGCGCATGATTAGAAATCTCCAAAACACGGTTCACAATCAAACTTGGGCAATCATCTTCTCATTTTTAATTTTTTTTTTTTAATTAGGTCACAGATTTTTCGAGAGATCTCCCGGAAAATATTAGTTTCAAAATGTTGTTTTATTATTCACACAAGAGAGTGCGTTTAGAAAACTTGTAACGCTTTACGATGTTGAAAAGGAGATGGGAGGGAGGAGCTGTCTTCCCAGGCGAGGAGGATAATATAGGGGGAAGGACGCGTTTAGTGCGCCGTTACATAACGCCAGGATATGTTATGAACCGATTTTGTTGAAACTTTATGCAGTTTAAATTTAAGCAAAAGACAAAAACTTCCTTTCACAATGTATTTAATTCGCGAATATTTCTATTTTTTTTTCTAAACCAGTTTTATTAAGAATATTTTTATTATTCGCACAGGATTCATTATAGGCACAAAATATTTCGTAAAAATTTGTTATTATATTTTGTTGGAATGCAGAATTTTAATATTCAATGTCTATGTTGTTTCTTGTTTCATACTTCCTTCGTTAAGATATTTTAGATACTCAATTTTTTTTAATAAAAAAAAAATAATAAAATACTTTGATAGCAAGCACATATAAGGACGCGAGTTGTTTTAAATATACCTCTCAATAAAATCTTTAAAAATATGTACAAAATCTTTGTTCCAAGACGAACAATTTTAACAGCATTTCTTTGACTCGACTGATCGCTGACGATGAACTGAGCGCAAAAATCCTTCCATCCGAACCTTATCTGACGAATTTACGCTGAATTGAACCATAGAAAAATGAAGTGGCTAAAAAGAACTATGTTGGGTAAGTTTACACTTCACGTAGCCCCTTTTTGCTTTAATTCGTTTGTTCATGGGTCTTCCCAGCAACAAATACGTGGAAGTTTGGGGAGCCTTGGGCGTAAGTCAACACATTGCAATTATTCGCAATGAACGCAAATATTTGCTGCCCTTGACACCGCGCTAGTAAAAAACCTTCGAAGCCATAATGTAACTTCACAGTGAAGCGATGCATATGCACTGATATATATCTATATATATATGTCATGGTTACCGTTGAAACAGACTAGGTATTTCTCATGCGTCCCTCTGTTTACTCCGTTTTTTTTTTTTTTTTTTTTTTTGAATCAGGGCCTCGAGAGGGGTGCTCATTGTTTTGGATACTGAGAAGCCCCCCCCCCCGTTATTCAGACCCATTTCAATCAGAAGGATCTGTAAAAAATCTGATATGTGCCCATCCATCCATGTAAATAAGCGCATGACAGAGCCCATGGTACAATGGATATATTTTCTTTTACTTTAGATATACGTCAAATTGCAGAATGGTGTCATTTTTCATTATTTTCTGGTATTCCCTAGATTTCTCCCGGGTTTTCCTTGGAATTTCTCATTTTCTCGGTGCTACTGACGTATAATTTGTTGGCTGATTACACTGGTCAATATGGGTTTTGTCCTTCGAACCAAACCAATTTTTTTCGATTCCTACGTGCTAAAGAAGCCCGAAAATGACCATATGAACTTCAGGAAAATTGGCTGGTCCTCAGGGCGCAGCCATTTTGAATGTTTCGAAATTGACAGAACCCACGATTAGATTTTTGCAAATATCTATCCTCAACGGTTCATCTCACGAAAAAAAAACCAAAATAACAAGATAGGATTTGGGAAAGAAGATAAAATTTCCTACCGAAGTCATCCTCCTTTGGATTTTCTTACTTAATTTCTTGGTCATGAATGTAACGTTTTCTTAAAAAATTAGCTTAAAAAAGGCGCATTTTTGCTGATTTTTGGAGAAACTTTGCTTCATACCTCCAGCCACAATTATCTTAGAAAAAAACTGTTCTGCTCATTGAAAAAAGCGTAAAATGTACGTAAAATCTAGCAAACATATGTCAATAGTTCCTAAACGTGATTTAATCCTGTGAAACAGCAGTTTATTAGCTCCGCCCTTAAAATGTGATTTTTTTCGACCATTTTCCTTACAATCACGAAAAAAAGAGAAAAAACCCTAAAAACGTGACCCGAACTGAGTAAAAAAGTGGCAAAATAGTGCTGGGTCCACACTATTTAAGGGGGGGGGGGTTGAAGAAAGCCAAAAAGTTCAAAAATTTTCAATCAGAGTATACAATTTTGAGCTTTCGTGAGTATCAGTACAAAACTGAGGGGGGAGAGTGTTTAGCTCAGACAGTTTGCATTGGAACATTAAGGTGAGGTAACGTAGAGAGATCTATAATTTTGGGTCTTTTTATTCCTTATCAGTAGATAACACTCGTCATTCGAACCCAACTGAAAATCTCGCAAATTCCAAGACGGCATCAAAGCTCGAGTTCGAAGTACAAGTTTTGTATTGCAAAACGATAATTTCGTACTGGTACCCATTGGACCTCAAAATTTTTGACTCTGATTGAACATTTTTGAACTTTTTGGCTCTTGATCTCACTGACGAATGTAATCTACCGACGAGGTCTACAACAAGACCCAAAATTATAAATCTCTCGCCGTGACCTCTACTTAATATTCTAATGCTAATTGCCTGAGCTGAACGCTCCTCCCCTTTAGTTATGTACTGCCGTACTGGTTATCCATTAGAGCTCAAAATGTTTTACTGCAATTGAAAATGTAGGAACTTTTTGGTTTTGTTTTCCAAACAGTGTGGACCCAGCACTATTTTGCCACTTTTTTACACAGTCTGTTCAGGTCACGTTTTTAGGATTTTTTCTCTTTTTTTCGTGATTGTGAGGAAAATGGTCGAAAAAATCACATTTTAAGGGCGGAGCTAATAAACTGCTCACAGTACGATTTTAACACTTTTAATGCGGTCAACATACCACCCGCGATTTTTTTGCAGAAATGTTAACTAGAAGGACTACAGATTGAGGAACAACAAACCGCGAAATCTGTAGTTTGGCCGTTATAGAGAAAATGCGATTTGTTGCTTTTTTGGCGGGAATTTCGGGTCGAGGCGCTGAAAAAGTCAAGTTAGGCTGTTTTTGTGGCTTGTAAAACTACAAAAACCCTCAAAAACATTTTTCGGGCAAAAAATCCGGTCGAGGAAATTGACGTGTCACTTCCTTTTAATCAAGTATAAGATAGGCAAAAACCTTTGATGAATTCCCAAGGTCCACTAAGACTAATAATCATCAAAAAGTTAAAAAAAAAAATAAATCCCTTGCCAAAAATAAATAAAAAACCGATTTTGAGATAAATCCCTCGAATGAACTTGAAATCACAAAATCGGTCGAGGATGTCAACTGAAATTTTTCCCCCTTTAATTATGAGCTCCGCAACAAGCGTGACTCGCTTGTACCTTTTCATACACGAGCCGCACGAATTCATCTCTTCTTCTCTCCTCTCCTTCCGTCCATGGACAGAGGTCCAAAATTTTTCGGATTTACTGACGCGACCGGCTGCGGCTCGATGCTCTCAGTGAATCGGTGCCTTCTTATCATCCCTGATGTCGGCTTCAAGTCGGTTGCAATTTCACCAGTCGACCCATTTTTCCATAACCACATGTTAGACTTTTTCGAAACATGATTCATCTGAAACATGGATTTTTTTTTTAAGGGAGCTTACCATTTGCTTTGGACGGTAGGTAGGTTGTAAGTAATAATTGTTCTTATACTCTATCAGTTAAGTATAAAATACATCTGTACCATTGGATGACATTTCGACAGACACGTTAGGTCCGGACAAGTGAGGGGATTTCTGAATCGCAAAATTATTAGTGGAATTGTTATAGTGGAGGAGTTGAGTCCCTTCACGGAATGAGCCCCACTTAAGTCGACAGGTTGTACGTGTTTCTCTCTGACTTATGTGTCATCTTAGTATAATCCACCCATGTTTACGCACCGAGCCGCAGCCGGTCGCGTCAGTAAATCCGAAAAATTTTGGACCTCTGTCCATGGACGGAAGGAGAGGAGAGAAGAAGAGATGAATTCGTGCGGCTCGTGTATGAAAAGGTACAAGCGAGTCACGCTTGTTGCGGAGCTCATAATTAAAGGGGGAAAAATTTCAGTTGACATCCTCGACCGATTTTGTGATTTCAAGTTCATTCGAGGGATTTATCTCAAAATCGGTTTTTTATTTATTTTTGGCAAGGGATTTTTTTTTTTTTTGAACTTTTTGATGATTATTAGTCTTAGTGGACCTTGGGAATTCATCAAAGGTTTTTGCCTATCTTATACTTGATTAAAAGGAAGTGACACGTCAATTTCCTCGACCGGATTTTTTGCCCGAAAAATGTTTTTGAGGGTTTTTGTAGTTTATATCAGGTCGTTTTTGGGTGAATAAGTACCTAAAGGTCTGGCTGTACGAAGAGCTAGCAAAACCGAAGCGTCGAAAAAACACAAGCAGTGTTGTTGATTTCTCCATAAGCCACCATGTTAGAAATGCCGGTTTGGTTCACACTTTGTATAAGTCAGAAATTAAATCCCTATGTGAATAAAATCCAGGAGTAACATACATGAATGGATTTATTATGGCTTTGACCATCTATTTATAGCAAAATTTACACAAATTAACATCGATTGACTTAAAAAATGTCGAAAAAACACAAGCAGTCGTTGCTTTTCCCGTAAGCCGCCGTGATAAGAAATGCTTGTCGGTTCACACTTGGTTTAAGTCTCAATTTACTTCCTTTTTGGAATATTATTCAAGAGTATGATACATTAATGGATTCACTATGACTTTAACTACCCGTTTGCAGCAAAATTTGCAAAAATTAATGATGATTGAATTAAAAATGTCGAAAAAACACAAGTAGTTCTTGATTTCTCTATAAGCCACAATGATGATAAGTGCCGTCGGGTTCACACTTTTCGGAGCACAAGCGGCTCGGAAAGGCCCGTTAATGGATTGACTTCATCGGCGCTCCAGTACATTGCGACTCTATTGTACTCTATGGTTCAGAGCGAATCGGAGAACCGGAACGAAAGCAGAGTGCTACTCAGCGCTCCTGGTGGAGAAAAGTGAAAGTGAAAACTAGGGTTCCGGCGTTAGCCGCGAGAGAGCGCACCAATGCTGATTCTGAAACGAATCTGCAGGTGTTCATTGGTTGAGATGTAACTGCATCATGAGAATGTGGCCACCACAATTGAGTCCTTATTTTTACTGAACTTCAGACAGTGGGAAACGCACACAGAACTGTTGTCAAATTAAATGATGTTTTTAATTATTAATAATGGAACTATCGTGATCTTTTTATCCAAAGGATTGACGCCAAATCACGGATCGGTTGGGAACAATTAAATCTATGAATCGCTGCGTTGCAGCTAGTGTCTTTTGTCCCACCAATAACAAAAAATTATGTTGGTACCTGCACTTGGTATAAAGATTGACAACTGACTTGACCTATTTAATTTATTATCTTATGTGTTCTTAATGTAGTAAATAAGTCTGGAGATCTAAGTATTGGCATGAGTTCATTAGAAAAAAAGGCTCATCTGAATGTGAGAGGCCAAAGCGGTACTTACGGTCACCATACCTGGGTTCGTAGGCTCACCCTCGTACCTACTGAGACGGCAATCTCCATCTCTTGATCGGAGGATATGCCGCACCTAGTTGGTAAGAGTGGAGAGGCATTTATGATTACATTGATACCATGGGGTCTAATTGTATTTAGCCTTGATTAACACGATCACACTTATTCCAATGGAACTAGGCAGGAACACGTACCTACGAATCTTACTACTGTAGTCCTCGTAACAGATAAGCAATTTATTCTGTTACGCTTTTGAACAGAGGAAGAATGGACGCACCCATTTCACACAGTAATCGATGCAAGAAAATGAAGCCTTCATTGTATTTTTATCATCAACTTATGAAATTATGAGAATAAAACGGGTACATACCTTTCATTAAAGACCTTGTTATACATTGTTGGGCAAAATGAAGTTTCTAACAACTCCTGACGCAAAATCAAAGAGACTCAGAAGAAACCAATTTGAGCAAATGCTCACAGTCAAAGACCTTTGATTATGTGACATTAAGTTGACCTATGATTGAACTGTTCCGAAAAGGGATGGAATTGTGCCTCACATACTCAGGTTCGCAAGCCACGCGTAACAAGAACGGTAGAAGAGATAGGAGGATTCCAAGATAAATCATGAAGGAAACATGTTCTTAATGTAAATAACATACACTTCAGAGAAACATAATCACTCCAGAGCACATAGGTTGATGGCAAGATATAGAGCGAATAAATTTTGGTCGAAGTTCAGTGACAGTCGCATGTGAAGGCCGAGGCTCATATTCCAGTAATTTTTAGACTTTAGTAGTGAGAATACATTCTGTGATGTAAATGCTGCTTCCTTTGGAGAGTTTGGCACAATTTCGGTGTAATTTCGTTAACGTAATTTACCTGAATTACATCTATCGCTTAGGTCAGGTACTGACATAAACATGACGACATAACCTCACTTAAAAATTTGTCACATTTTCGTTCAATAAAATAAAGATACCACTTGAAAATTTTAAGAGAAACTAAGGTAATAGTATATCGGGCTCCAGTAGAACACGTGAGACGTAATAATGTGAGTATGTAAATATAGTAGTTAGCATCTACAAAGAATTAAACTCTTATCCAAATTAGGTAAATCTATTCACAACTAGTTAAAGAGGTTGGTAACGACCGACCAGAAATCACTTGAGATTTTTAAGAAACCAATGAAGTAGTGTATCGGGATAAAAGTGGGCGTAATAATATAAGTGTGTAATATTAGTTAGGATCTAAAATGAATTGAACTTTTAAATTACATCTGTTCATTATTCACAAATAAATACAGTAGATGGAGGTTGATAACGACGACAGGAATTTCGTTCCCGAAACTCGGACGAACCTGAACAGAATGAACCAATGGCGTTGAACCATTATATTACTGGTTTTTTTCTAAATTCAAAAATTATAGCTAAAATTTTGAAGGATGTAAGCGGATGCTGGATTATCCGTGAGATAAAGCGCTTTTTTATGTGGCAAAATGAAATCTTCACATCTTCACGGAGTGCCCTTTATATAGGCTCCATTACAATCCGCGGCCGGGTAAGCGAGAAATCTGTTGTTAAAGATGGTCATGACGGGCAGTTTAGTCGTATTTTCCGTAATTTCTCTTTAAGATCACTAGGAATGTTACAAAACTGTAAAAACCCATGGACACGGTAACATGACGATTCTTTAGGTACCCACTTTTATGGGTCTAAGGTTTACCGTTATCGCGGAGTTTGAGTGACTTTCGCAGGACCCTGGATTCTTGAAATTCAAATTTCCCGGCAAAGTAAAAAGTAAAATTTTCCTTGTTTTGGGTCATTAAGTGCTTATAACTTTTTGAAAACTCAATGGATCTTATTGAAACTCTTCCACTTTGTAGTCCTAATTGAGCTGCGTCCGTAGACACCAAGATCGTAGGAATCCGAGCCGTCGTTTGGGCTGCAGTCGAGTTCCAACCGAATCAATTTTCAAGTTAAGGGAGTTGCCTGTGACTAAGAGTGTCGGCCACCCGTTTGTTATCGGGACTTTAGTAGGACGTCATTTTCCTCGACCGGGGGTGGCTACCGCCACTCTTGAAATGCATATTCAATACATTTTTAGTCAATCAAGTGTCAGTAGATAGCTATTTGTGCATATTGCCGAAAATTGCCTAAATTTCAAAATGGGGGCCATAATAAGGCCTCCGGGATTTCGATTTTTTTAAAATACGCATACAGTGTCATGTTAGGTGTCAACTCCTATGTAATTTTGGTCGTAGATTTCAGATATGAAGTTAAAAAAGTCCCCCGGCCAAAGGAGGTACCCCAAATCCAAGATTGCAGTCAATTTTGAAAGACAAGAGGGTGAATTTTTATAATATTCGTGTGATAAGGCAAGTGAGGTATCATTTCCTATGTAATTTTGGTCGTAGATTTCATTTATGAAGTCATAAAAGCCCTCCAGTCAAAGGGATTGCCCCGAATGCCAAGATGGCGGCCAAATTTGAAAGGCAGGAGGGTGAATTTTTGAAATGTTTACGTGAAATCCATAGTAAAAGTGAATCAGCCTGACGTCAGGCTATATGATTCATAAACTACCCTGAGTCAGACTGATGTCAGGCGGACGATCTTAATCTATTGAAATAATAGTCAAAGCCAGAATGGAGCGATCTACTTGGTGGAAGCGGCTGGGTCGGAATCGGGAGAGGAGTAGTAATAGACTGACGAATGGCAACCCTTAAGGGACCCTAAAGTTGACCGTAATTTTCTTCGCGATGAGTCTGTAACAACCACCCGTTTCGACTGATGGATCGCATAATTTTCCCTGTTCTTTTCGTATATCACTTTGACTATTCTTTTCAGACAATTTTGTTCGCGATTTGATCTAAAATATCTGACAATTTCCAGGAAACTTTTGCAAAAATGTCCTCAAATTTTCAAATTTTATTCGAGAAAATTTGGCAACTCTCGAATGTTCTTACGGCGTTTTTCCTTAGCAAGGCAGTATGGTATGTATGATCGATTATCTGAGCACACTTAAAAAATATATTTTTCGGCACAGTTTTAAATGGAAAAATATCGATAGTTGACGATTAACTCTTCGTTATTGGTAGGACCTTTTGTGAATGAACTAGGAGTAGTAGCTCCTCATTGTAAAATGCAGCCTATACTTCCTCAACTGCTTCATCCACGGTCCGTGCGGCCGATACCAAGCAAGATTGCACAAAGTATCACGTTATTAAGAGGGATATTTTTGGACGTCATCTTGGCTCTCTCAGTGATGAGCGTTCAAACGAGAGTTAATAATAAATCGTTAAACTTGTTTTACAAGGATTAGTGTTGTTCATCTAAATCCGGGAAATTTCTCGTGAACGAAATGCACTTTCCAATACCACAGCGATTAAAAATTATACTGAACAAGCTCCTGGAGATAGGTTCGCATCCTTGGCATTTAAATAATCGATTTTGTGAAGAAAGGATGTTCAAAATTGGCCAGTTGTGTGATGAAATATGGGGGGTGGGGGGGGGGGNATGGGTAGGTGGGGATTAGGGGTTTAAATGAGAGAAAACTCCTGCTTTTTAGCACTATCTGGGAGCAAAGCTTGCCTGAAAATCTGCGATAAAATGTGGATACCGTACAAGAGTTTAATAAGAAAAACTGCGGATTTCTCGGCACGATTTGGCAACAAATGATGCCAGGTTAAGCGATAAAATGTGGATATCTTGGATGAGTTTGCACGAAGAAAAGTGCTGATTTTTTGCACTAACAGCGGTCGCCAGGATATGCGATAAAATGCCGGTATTTTACGGAAGAAAAAGTGCTGATTTTTCAGCAACATCTGGGAACAAATAAGGTTCCTGGGTTCTAAGACAAACTGTAGGTATTTTACATTAGTTTAAACGAGGGAAAATGCGGATTATTAACACTATCAAACGACTTAAGTTGTCACGTTTTGCGGTAAAATGTGGTTAAATAGGGGGGAGAAGTCACAACAACTTGCAAGGAGGATAGAGAAAAGTCTTCGCTCAGCAAGAGGATAATAAAATTTATTCATAAATTAGTATCGTATGGATCAACTGACCTAATTTGCTTGAGCCGCGCTTTATGCGGGAGCAGATTGTCATAATCCGCCGGTGCGAAGTAGGATAGTGCGAACTCGTGGGGTTTAACTTAATCTAATCGGACTACATTTTGCAGTAGGTAGTAAATTACTATTCCTGACCCATTTAAGAAACCAAGTTCCATTCTTTTCCCTCTCGAGTAGAAACGACTGATCAAAAACTTAAAAACAACCCGGAAATACTGAAAATACAACTCTTTCAAGAAGTCGTTACAGTGTTTATCTGCGGAAACCTTTATTATGCATTTTTTATAGTCACAATTTACGCACGTTAAAACTGAAATGAAAAAAAGAGTAAAAACGCTCCTAGAAGCGCTAAACTACAATTTTTTTTTACCTCCACAGATGTTTGCAAAAAGAGAAAAGAAAATGCTGTAAAACTTGCAAAAAAGTGTTAATTGTCTTTCAAAGACCTTTCTTCATCACACAGATTTTAAAACAGAAAAATACCAATAAATGGTTCCTCAAACATTGTTTTTGTGTTTTTTAAAGTTTTCGAGAATTTTTTTTTGAGGTTCATCGCTGTTAAGGCTACGAAGACGGGCGGTTTTGAGGGGTGAGCCAGAAATGGTGGTTTCTCAGTCCTCATCGCAGAATGTGGTGCAATATACAGAACACAGAAAAGACTTAAGGTTAAAGGCGAAGAAGAGCAATGAAGTTAAATCCCTTTGCACAATTCGTTGGAGGGACGATCCGCGCGGGATCTAAATGCCGAAGCCGGTGAAGCCGCCGGACCCTTTGGCGTTGAGAGTCAGGGGTGGAAGTCCGATTGCGTTCGGATACGACTTGGTAAAGAGATCGCGGGTCGTCTCCGCAGCCTGTCAGAAAAATAAAGAAAAATATTAGTTAAAAAACATGTTCGATAAATGAAGAATATGTTATATGGATATAAATACATTTATGTTTTTGTACGAGGTCTGTTAGATTAGAAACCGGATTTTGGTCATAACTAGCCCACAATGCGTCCAAATTACGTTTTCTTGAGTTTTTCTGATAGCTGGAAATATACTTAAGAACGTTACGTTCACAAGTTTGAAAAATCATAATTAGCTTCCTTGGTATGTGGCTTGAAGTAAGGCAACCTCAAAGGTGTTTTGCAATTTTTTTGTTTCACCGAACTTGTCTCTCTTTTTTCGGTCTTGCACTACATTTTTCAACCCACAAGGACGATTGGCGTTTCGTCTCCATATCGTAGCCGTGCACAAAAGTATTGACACCGAAAATTATCCTATCCAAAAATGTAGGATCACTGTTACAACGTTCAAGTAGCTAAAGGGAAATGACATGTTGTTGGATTTTCGTTCAACGGACAACAATCAAGGGGCAAGTGTACCTTAAACTCGATGCGTGTCTACATATTCTATCAAAATTGTATGTACAGAGCCTTCAGAAATATTACTCTGTTCAACAAGCTCGAAACGACCGTTTTCGAGCACTTTTGCCCACATTTCTTCCACGTGACAAATGTCAGTTGCCGTTGAGGGTCGATTCCCATGCTCCTCATCTTTGACGAACTCCTGACCAGTTTCGAATCGTTTAACCCATTCAAAACAGTAGGAACATCTCATACAATGACCATGGTAAACTTTACTTAGCATATACCAAAAGTTTCGGTACAAGGTATACCGAGTTTAAAACAAAATTTAATGTTGAATCTTTGCTCTATCAGTGATCGCATGATGAAAATCGCAAAACGCACCTGACTTACTCGTATTCAAGATGACACAGAATAAACACTGATCAAAATAAACAAAATCTGTGAACGCTGCGTTCTTAAGTATATTTCCAGCTATCAGGAAAGCTCAAGAAAACCTAATTTGGACGCATTGTGGGCTAGTTAATGACCAAAATCCGGTTTCTAATCTAACAGACCTCGTATGCTGTATGTTTTTGATTGGATAGAAATAAGCAAAAGAGTTACATCAATATTGCGGTGTTTCAAAATATCTTTACGTGCGATACTTTCCCTGAAGGAAACCAACCAACACTTTCGCTTACAAGTTTGCGAAAATAACCTTCATAGGGGCCATAAAATTTCAAAATATTCAAGAGGGATATGTTGGTTGTTTTTCTACCAGAAAATTAGAATAGGAAACGGGATTATCATACACCGAAATAAAGGTTTGACTGTTGTGCTTATCTCTATCCAATTTACCCAGATCTCAAAGATTTTGGTCTTTGAGATCCTCAGGAGTTGAGGGAGAGAACAAAGAAGGAGAAGAAGAGGGAGGATGCAGAAAAAGCTGAGAGAGGAAGAGAGAAAAGGGAAGTAAATGATAAAAAGAAGAAGCAGGCAGATGAAGGAAGAGGTAGAAGAGGGAGGGGAGGACACAAAGGGTAAGAAGAACAGTAGGATAATCAAGAGGAAAGAGAACAAGGATGAGAGAAAGAAGAGAAAATGAAAAGAGAAAAGGAGAAGAAATGGGGTAGAAGTAGATGGAAAAAGAGGAGGCAGAAGAGAAGGAGATGGAACAAAAAAGGAGTGAAACAAAAGAAGAGGAGGAGAGGGAAGATGAAAAGGAAAACAGAAAGAAAGAAGTAGAAAAACATGGGATGAAGAACTACAACCAAGCGAGAAGAAAGGAAAAGAAGAGAAAAGTAAAAGGAAAATGGAAAGGGGGGACAGTTGGCTAAGAAAAGGAGGGGCAGGAAGGAGAAATAGGAAGATAGAGAAAAGAAAAGAGAGAATGAAGAATAGAAAGCAACGAAGGAGAAGAAAAAAGGAAGCAGTAGCACATGAGAACTATTATGAGGAAGGAGAAAAAATGAAATGAAAAATGAGTTGAAGAATAAGAGGAAGAAGAGAAGGAAGAAGAAGAGGAAGGAGAATAGAAATAGAGGAGGGCGGAAAGCAGGGCGAAGAATTTATTTTTCAATGGTCTTTATTTTCCTTCCAATCTCTCTCTTCTTGCTCCTCCCTCCTCGTTTTCACCCCCATTCTTCAGTTTCTTCATTCAGATTTAAAATAGATACTTGTGTCTGTTAGACTGAGGTTTATGAAGGACCGTTTGTAACTGAAGATACGAATATTAGCAATATAAAAGCAATGATGCAATATATGAGCTAATGAAGGTATACCTATACGAAATTTAGCAACAAAATTAAACTATCGTAATATATATGAAATGTGTAAATATATACGGAATTGATTTCAAAATATATACCTAGCGAAATTCGTGCTATGTAGCGCAATACACAGGGTGATCCAAAAGTCCCTTCCACCCCTTCTAACTTTTTACCTCATTAAGATAAATATTTGAAACTTAGGGGATGTTCCTAGATCAAAAAGAGCTACTTTTTGGCCCCCTTAAAATTTACAGGGAGCTCTCCTAGGGGGGCAACGAACACCAACCTTTTTTTCCAAATGGGAGGATCCCCTTTGTTATATCTCGTTCGAAAGGGCATAAAAAGAAAAGAAAACTTTTCGCGCAAACCCGAAGTCAATATCTAGAACCGTCTCAAAATGCGTGGTGGCCGGTTAAAGTTCAAGATGGCTAAAAATTGACACCTATTCTTTGTAATTAGATTTGCGCGACAACTGGTAGCCAGTGGTACTTTGACATGAGAATATAGAATTTGACGTTATATATTTTATAAAAAGAAGACCAATCTTTCCAAAATGGCCGCCGGTTGAATATCAAAGTGGCCGAAGATTGGTTCTCTTTAGAAATTTCACTTCAAATGTGTTAATATCATAGCAAAATACCCCTAAGTCTCAGGTTTCAAGCAAGTCCATCGGCAAAATACCAAGGTGGAAATTTTTGGCCATTTGGAACTTTAACCGAAAGCTATTTTTTTAATTTCGCTTTTTTCATAAATCTAACATGAAATTCGTTTTCCTCATGTCAAAATACCCTCAGCTATCGATTTTCGCGCAAGCTTATTCACAAAAAACGTCAACTGTCAATTTTCAGCCGTCTTGAACTTTAACCGGCCGCCATTTTGAGACGGTTCGAGATATTGACTTCGGGTTTTTGCGAATAAATGCTCTTTCAAACGAAATATAAGAAAAGGGATCTTTCCATTTGAAAAAAAAGTTGAGACCGTTACAAACGGCCCTTCATACGAGGTTGATGAAATTAAATAAAGAGATTCTACGAAATTATAGATTATCACCAAAAATCCAGGCTAAATATCCTTTTAGGAGTTGCTAAAAAGTCATTTCGGCCGGCCGTGAATTATATGAGGCACACGAAGCGAGGAAGGTCCAGGACCACTTGACCATACTTTTTCAAAGAATAATATGGTCGGGGGAGGGGTAAAAAAACAGATATGTGCGTGTCGTCCAGGAAAATCTTAAAATACATTTTTTAACTATACAGGAAGGAAACCCTTTGAGTGTATCTTCAAAGGCGTTACGTGTTAGAGACACCGCACTGGCAATGTTAGTGATATACAGGGTGATCCAAAAGTCCCTTCCACCCCCTCTAACTTTTTACCTAATTGAGGTAAAGATTTGAAACTTGGGGGATATTTCTAGGTCAAAGGGAACTACTTTTTGGCCCCCCTAAAATTTTCAGGGGGGCCCCCCTTGGGGGGACAACGGCCCCCAACTTTTAATTTTCAAATGGGAAGACCCCCTTTGTGATAGCTCGTTCGAAAGAGCATAAAAAAAGAAAACTTTTCGCGCAAACCCGAAGTCAATATCTCAAACCGTTTCAAAATGGCGGCCGGTTAAAGTTCAAAATGGCCGAAAATTCACACCGGTTATTTGTCGATGGATTTGCGCGAAAATCGGTATGTAGGGGTATTTTGACACGAGAAAAACGAATTTGACGTTAGATTTTCAAAAAAACCGAAATTTCCAAAATGGCCGCCGGTTAAAGTTCAAAATGACCAAAAATTGATTTTTTTAGAAATCTAAGTTCAAATTTGTTTATCTTATGCCAAAATACTCTCAAATTCCAAGTTTTAGGCAAATCCATCAGCAAAAAACCGAGGTGACAATTTTCGGCCATTTTAAACTTTAACCGGCGGCCATTTTGGAAATTTCGGTTTTTTTGAAAATCTAACGTCAAATTCGTTTTTCTCGTGTCAAAATACCCCTACATACCGATTTTCGCGCAAATCCATCGACAAATAACCGGTGTGAATTTTCGGCCATTTTGAACTTTAACCGGCCGCCATTTTGAAACGGTTTGAGATATTGACTTCGGGTTTGCGCGAAAAGTTTTCTTTTTTTATGCTCTTTCGAACGAGCTATCACAAAGGGGGTCTTCCCATTTGAAAATTAAAAGTTGGGGGCCGTTGCCCCCCCAAGGGGGGCCCCCTTAAAATTTTAGGGGGGCCAAAAAGTAGCTCCCTTTGACCTAGGAATATCCCCCAAGTTTCAAATCTTTACCTCAATTAGGTAAAAAGTTAGAGGGGGTGGAAGGGACTTTTGGATCACCCTGTAGGTAAATCGGAAAGGCCAAACTTAGGTGCAGTGGTCAACGTTTTTTCGCCTGATGTTGACTCATCAGCAAGTTGTTGAAAACGAATTTCGGCAAATGATAATCCATCCATGTTGGAGTGACACATTGCTAGGTGAGTTTTTTCAAAATACTTGCAAAGCTAAGTTGCTCGCCTCTTTGCTCATATCATTACAAGACAAATCCCAAGCATTCACTTTCGAAAGTAGTTTTTATACGCCAGGTATTGGAAAAATTAAGTTGCGTAGGGTCTCTAGGATACATAGATCTTGGGTGGCTCTTTGAGCTTGTGTTATGTAAGGTTAGGTATGGGATCAAAGTAAGTGGAACGTAAGGTATGCTATTGCCAACCCTTTTGACCGAAACGCAATCTTTTGTACCCACAACCAAAGTCGTAGCGCGAGATTTGAATGTTAGCAATTTTGGAGTCTTGGCCGAAAACAAAAAATGACCATCTGCCGTCCGTAAAAATAAAAAATTCAGTGCAAGAAAAATTAGTTGAGAATGAAAATTTATTTAATTGCAGTGAGGTGATTATCTGCTTATTTTTATCATCAGCAGCAGGTCTTTGTTTCCGGCCATCAAGACTCCAAAATTTTTGAAATGCAAATCTCGATCCACGGTTTTGGTGATGAGAACAAAAAGCTGCGTTCCGGCCAAAGGAGTCGGCAAGAGTATACCTATACGTTCAATTTACTTGGAGGTACATTGACGTCAGGTTGTCGAATGACATTTGCTCTGGCGGCCTCAAATTAGAATTTTAATCCTTGGGTCATGTTACTTTTAACCCATCTTTGTCCCTATCGAACCTCATTCAATTCTTACCCCGTTTATTGATCCGCTCATTGTGTTTTAGGCAGGGTTGTCTTGGGGATTTTTTGGATATGAGAGTGAGGTCGGTGATCGACCAATCGAGGGTACTTCGTCACAATATATTCAAGGGTCACAATTGCCTGTATGGGTGGTTTAAATCGAATTACTCAAACAATGTATACTTATGAAATAAAGTTACCTACAAGAAACCTTAAGTATTGCAGGATAGCATTCAGACATGAAGAAGCATAATAATAGATTTTTCAGTCATACATCGAAAAAGTTGTTTCAAGATTACGTTTGGAAAGCTGCACTTTTGGACTATACGAATTCAGGTGATTTAGATTATATGTTTTTTTTTTTTTTTTTTTTTCATTTTACCGGTTTGGATATTATTACCTATAGGTTATTCTTTCGTCCCGGTTTTTCTTCAGTGATTCTTTGTCTTAAACGATGTACATTTCGGAAGTACTATTTCCTTCTTCAGGCCACAAAATTTTTTTTGACTAACACTATTACATTGTGCGCGTTCGAAATTCCGATACACGTTAAAATATTAAAATCGGAAAAATACAAAATAAAACACACGTAGACTAGGTAAACAAAAATTAATTGACTATGTCACCGCATCGGGTCGCGACCGATTTATTACTGTTAGCGGGATTCCTCCTCGGCAGGTGATTTGTTTTGAAGACCCTATGCCGCTATCCACCCCTTAAAGCTGAAGTCATTCTCGAAAAGGCAACGCTGAGAGGCATATCTCACCATACTTCGGAAGTTTATTATTGGGGTAAAATGGGATAAAACTTTTCTTCTGCCAAAGTTTCTCTATAAACGGCGCTTGCATTTGCGTATACCTTGAGGCAAATCTAAGCGTTGACTCCCGCGAGTAACTTTTACACCGGAAGGGACAAAGCAGAGCGGGGTCTCTAAAAGTCGATTGTGTCTACAGGCTTCTACGGCATATTGTTCAAAAAGATCGCTCTAAAACGTATATTGTCTACAGATGTCTCTAAAACTTATTGTGAATGGAGGTCTTTAAAACGACATATTGTCTGTGGAAGGGTTTAACCTTTAATCCGGCGGTGGAGGCGGCATCACCGTATTCTTTGAGGGCCTGTATGTGATCACCGGCAAGGTTTTTAGTGGTCTGGAGGAGGTCTCCAACGGAGGCCTGGGCGGTGGTAGCGGCTTTGGTAGCCGTCGTCGAAAGGAAGTCGGTCAGGTGGCTCATCGCCGAGAGTACGGTCGCGTGAGGGTCCCTCTGCATCTGAGCGATCGCCTCCGGACTCACGCCCACCTAAAACATAAATAACTCCTCTATACAATATACCTGTTGCAATCTTCAGCTAGAGCCAAAAATGAAAGAGTTGTTTCCAATAGGAATGGCTCAAAAATCACGATGAGCATATCAGGAAAAACTGAAATACACTCTTAACTGAGCAATCTGTCCAAGAACGATGCTTTTAAGTTTTCCGCTTCAACAACGAATCTATGGCACAGTTGGACATGCCCTAAGAGAAGTCGTTCCATCCAATCCTTTTGCAATAGAATGCTAAAAAATGTTCGGCATGGCCGACGATTCCGCATGCAAATCGTTAGGAATCTCCATGATCTTCATAAACGCAAGAAAAATGTAAATATATAAACGCGCAGGTTCATAAGACTCCGTCTCATCACGTGTGTTTTGGTGCAAAAAAAAACGTAATGATACTATCAAACCCAGGTGGCGTTGGTTAAACTATTTCAATTAGTAAGTTCGAGTGACAATAAAATAGTGAGTTAATATAAATTAGTTGAGAGAGCATACTTTGAGTGATTTCAAAGTGTAGAGAAAACCATCTCAACTCTAGAGATGACTATTAGGATAGTAAGTGCAATTATTCAGATTTTTCCCTCGACACAATACATGTAATTGCATAGGTTTGCCATTAGAATTCTTGATTTCACTATTTCTCTCGAGTAGATATAGTCAATCATTTGGAAAGGTGAATTTAAGGTATGAAGAGATAGAAATATTGAAAAGTGATGGTGAGGAATCGATTACATTGATAAATTGTGAAGAAAAAATTGGATTAGCTGTCACAATTATTTCTGCTTGTGATCAACTTTAAAATTTATACATACAGGGTGTCCCAAAAGTCCGTACCCCCCCCCCTCGTAACTTTTGAACGGTTAGAGATAGAAAAACGAAACTTTGGGAACGTTTCTATATTAAAGGGGTTCATCTCCTAGGGAGGTCAAAATTTTTGTCCTCCCCTCAGGGGGAGCGCGGGGGCCCCCAGCTTTTTCTTTCAAAAAGTAACCCCTATCTTGTGCTACATCATTAGAAAGAACATAAATAAATAAGAATTTTTGTGCAAACCGCAAATCAATATCTTAATTTTTGACAGAGTTGTGATAGGTCAAGGGTCAAATTTGACCTATTTTCAAAAAATCGTATCACCTCTTCAAATTATCAGAGCAGGCAACTCTCTATTTCAAGGTCTCGAAGATGTTTAACTAAACTTTTTGGAACTATCCCCGTTGCCGACAGTATAAGGGGTTTGAGGAAAACAACGTTCAGGTTCCATAATTCCATAACCTCACTCATAATTATTACTATATTACTATTATTATATTATAGTTCAGTTTACTGCTGTGCACCAGCGTGTGCAGGGTTTCTTTAAACCCTCTCACAGGGGCAAACAATATTCCTAGATATGAAGACTGTTTTTGGTTTAGATGTCCGGATGGTGGTAGTTTCATTCCCACTTGGGAAGTGGCTCGTCAAAGCCTTGGATACCTATTTTGAAGAACCGAAGCAGGGTAGGTGTCTAAAAGAAGCCTGCCTGGAGGTTCCTATCCTGAGATGGCAGGGAATGGGGGTGCCAACGGTGTATGGGAATGTTTTGGGTGTACTTGTGCAATTCCATTTAGTTGAGGACCTACCGGAGGATTCTAGCAGTGCCTAACACAGCAGACTCCTCGACTAATACTAGCGAATGCCTCCCAAGGATTTTGCTCTCCACTTTGGTCAAGTCTTTGAAGACTGCTCCGGTAGCTCCAATCACAGAAAGTATGACACTTGGGTTGCTCTTCCACATTCTACTGATATCGATTTCTAGGTCTATATATTTTAGTTTCTTCTCACCTTCGTTAGAGAAATTCTTAACCCCCGCAAAACTAGGGATGTTTGCATGCTGTTATTGAAGCAAACGAAGCTCCTATGTGTGAGACACTTGAATGAGGGACAACGGCTGGTTAAAGATAATCCGGTTGTTTATTAATTAGAAAGTCACAGCCATGGATGGTAGTAAAAAACCGAGGAAAATAATTATTTCAATGGACCACTAGACAAGGTTCGAATTTAAGCAATCTGATACAAGTTTCTTAACCAGAATTTCACGTAAAACACGATTTGCACAACGAAAATTACTGAAACCAACTCCTAACGGAAATATTAACATTTTATTGCACATTGGTTACGAGAAATTTGAACTGCCCGCTCACAAGAAACTCAAAGCTCTACGTGAGTCAAATATCGCGCACTACGACGGTTTCAGCAAGCTTCTCAATCGAGCCATGTTCATTTCCCATCGAGTCGTTCAAACTATAAGCAAGTCGCTAAAGCTGAGCCAAAGCGTCAAGACTGAGGTTGCCAGATTTTTATATCGCAAAGACTATCATGATAATGTTTAGCGCGCCATGTGAATCACGTAGAGCATTGAATTTCAATGAGCGGGTGGTTTGAATTCACGCATCAGGAATCATTAAATATCTTTGAAAGGAGTTGATTTCGATAATTTTTGTTGTGCGCATCGTGTTTTACGTAAAATTTTGATTAAGAAACACGTATTAGAATGCAAAAATTCGCACCTTGTCTAGGGGTCCATTATTGTTAATAGTATTGTGTCATGGTCTGTGATTAATCAATGATGTGCCACTTAAACCAATGGGAAAGGATCGATTATAAGAGCATTCTTTTATAATCGATTCTTCACTATGGCTTCAAATGGAAAAATATCGATAATCGATTATTTTCCATGTATCAATTGGAATTCATTTTGCAAAAAGGAACAAGGAGCATTGCAATGTTGCTAAGATTGTGCAACCTTTTTTGTCTTTTAAGGAAAACCTGACTATCCATCAACAGTGTCTATTTTACTCGCTAAAAACTGTAAATTTAAGACAAAAATTCTACTGTAAATTTTATATTTTTTCATGATTTCAGTAGTATTATTGCAAAGAATGAAGTTGCACAATCTTAGCATCATTACATTGCTTCTGGTTCCTTTCAGCAAAATGCAATCCAATTAGCTGTCATTTGAACCTATAGGGAAAAGATCGCTTATCAGGGCATACCGTAATAATCGATTCTTTACCATGGCTTCAAATGGTAAAATATCAATAGCCGCTGATTTGCCACTGATTGCTATTACCTTTTCGGCGGCCTTTTCCAAGCCACTCTTAATGGTATCAATGTTTACTGGGCCAGGAGAGGCAGACGTTGTTAGACCACCAGCTGGGCTCCCAGTGACGCTCTGAAAACATAAATTAAGATACTTTAGAGGAATGTAATAGAGTAGAACAGAATAATACAGTAATGAAAAAGAATATGATAATGTAGGGGACTATTATAATGGTACAGTAATACTGGTATCAAAGGTATTATGCGGACATTTTTTTTTAGACGTAGGTATCTAATTATGAAGAAAAGAATCTTCTCTGCTCATATAAATGAAATATTATCAAAATTTCATTTACTTTGATAACAAATAATTAATCTAAACTCGAATGTACTTCGCTAACAAGGGAACTGTTTGGTATTTCACCGTAAGTAAGGTGAGGTTGGATAGCTGGGTGGACTGGTAACTGGCCCATACCCTTTGTGTCTCTACCTTATTAGTCCTAAAATTGTTTTCACAGTTGATATACCTTCATTATGACGTAAGCCATTTAGAACATGAGTACATAACCTCAGAATTTTTTTTTTCAATGAATAGTGAAGTGCCGAAAATTGAACAGCTTTTTTCGGGTGCCACCCACAGGAGACATGAGCCGACCAAAAGTGATGCTCTGGTGAGCGCGCAGTTCGCATGTTTGGAGCTTTCACGTTAGCTACGACACAATTGCGAATTGTTTACTTTCAATTTCAAATAATAAATTTTCCAATTTTTCTATTTCAAACTCTTCAATAAAGTCCTAAAAATAACTTTCAATATTAGTGATTCATCCCCTCAACTAAACCTTTTTGTAGTAGTTTCGATGGTTCCACCTCTTGCAGTGAGAATGTGAATCGCCGAGTTTCTGAGCGTGCAACTTAATGAATGGATAATTTCAGTTATACGGAAAAAAATATTTGCTAAAATGGCAGAACATGGTTTGCGACTTCTGCAATTCGCTTTTTTTTCTAGAATGCCCACCCTCGTGGCGAGAATGACAAAACAATTTGCAAAAATAGTAATTGTATTTTGCAAAAACAGTAAACTATAATTTTGCGAAAATAGCAAAACTTAATTTTGCGAAAATAACATTCCTAGTTAATGCTAATATTGCTAAAGATTTTGCTAGATTTGCAAAATTTTAAAGTGTGTCAGTAAGACGTTGAAACATTATAGAATAAGTAGGGACAACCGACAGAAGTTAGTGAAACAAATTCCGGAGATTACCAGAATACCCCGAAAAAACCTAGATACATATTTTTTCTTCTTTTCACAAATATTCGTATTAATTAAAATATGAAAGCAAAAAAACCTGGGACACTAAAAAACATTTTCGACGAAAACCGTGTGATTTCGTGAAATATGGAGGAGTATGCAGGAAAGCAGGGTATGAGCTTTGGAGCCAGGAGAACCTTGAAAAATTGGAAAAAGTTAGAGAAACCCAATTAAAATAAAAAAATTGAAATTTCAAAAATATAAGAGAGAGTAGATAAAAAATGAACGAAAAACATTGAACTATAGGGAATAATTAGGAGAAATGTAATAATTTCGAGCACCACTGAGGAAAAGTAGGTGAATCATACAATTTCAGGGAATGGATACTAGGACATGGACAAATCAGAGAAATGGCAAAAAGATTTGGGAAATCGGGGAATAGTAAGCAAAAAAGGGAACACGGGATTGCGACCGAATTTAGGAAACAAAACTCTGTGATAATTTTTGCAAAATTCGCTGATATGTATACGCGAGATAATTTTTAAAGGGACGCAAAAAAGGCTTGTTCCAAACGCGAGCTCGTGACATTCAAAAGTAAAAAAATGCGATTGGACGTGTCCCCGATTTACTTGACATTCTTCCTTTCCATTTTCGAAACCAAACGTGTTTCTTGTTGAGCCTGACTTCTCCTTGCTTTTCCTGGCTTTTAATCCCTGCTGATTTTTCAATAGGACTCATTCAAATTTTTCTATACTAGGGGGTTACGCATCGTGACTGCTTCACGGTCCAACCTCCAGAAGCATCTCGCGCTCGCGCCTGAGACGTTATTTGTTACGCGTTACTCTCATGATTTTGTATGTATATGTGACATAATTTTAGATAGATTGACATGTGCCAAGTCATCTACGTTTTTTATAAATTTTTGATTATTTATTTCTTAATCTATTATGTTTTTGGAGCCTTTCATTTTGTAATATTATGACATAATTTTAGATGGATTGACATGTGTCAAGTCATCCTTGATTTTTGTAAATCTGTATTAATAAAGGTTCTTCTTATTCTCCTGTTTTTGGATCCTTTCCTGATTCCTTTCTGTTCTCCTGACTACTGTCCATTATCCCTGACTTTCCCCAGTTTCTCATGGTATTCCCTGACGTTTTTTGATTTTCTCTGACCATCGGAATCTGGGATTAATTAGGGAAAATTTTGAAAACTGAGAGAAAATTAGTCTCTTTATTCTTCAGTGCCGAGAGTGACAAAACGATTTAAAATAATTACTCCTGAGTAAAAAAGAATTGAAAATTACGGGGAAAATGAAAAAAATTAAAAATTAGTGATATTATGTTAATACCAGAGAAGACTATGAAAAATAATCAAGAACGTAGAAAACTCCGGATATACGGGAAATAAATAAATACGAGAAGAAGTGGAAATGTAAGAAGACACGGAGGAGAATTCAGAAATAAGGAAAAAAGAAGAAAAAGCTGAGGTAAATCAGAAAAATATTTTTCTATTCCTCACAAGACCCTTAATTTTTCTTGTAAATTCATCACAACATTCCTATAACTTACCGCAACAGCGATGGCGAGGGCTAGAATGAGGGAAACTAGGGATTTCTGCATTTTTCTTTGGTTTGAACTGATTTTACACAATTTTTCCACGCGATTTTAAAACGATTCCACAATTCCACAATATTAATACTGTCGACGATTGGAAACTGCGACTTTCTTCGGACTTTCCGAATGCTCTCAAGCTTATATTAAGATCCCGCGCGTGTTGGTGCATAATCGCAACTACCTCGGAGGGAGAACAACGTATTTGAAACAGATAGAGGTGGAAAATTACGCGGTTTTGCGAGAGGTTTCTCGCACTTCCCGGTTTCTGCTCGGTGATCGGTGCCGCCAGAATCCAAAGCGTTCGTCATTGCCAAGTCGATGAGGAAAGACGGAAAAACAGATGTTTCAGCGGTGGAATAAATTAATGACAAGAGCAGAATGAAGGGAAAAAATCATGGGCTTCAGGGAAAATGAGAGGAAGCATAGAAATAGCAGAAATTAAGAATATTAAATCAGAGCGTCCGTGGAATTAGGTGTATCACGGAAATTGTGGAAAATTCAACAGTAAAATAGAAAAAAAACCCGGGTATGCTGGGGAAAAGGGAGTGATATTAAGGAGATTGGGAGAGAATCAGGGAATACAGGGCAAAATTGAAGATGATAAGATTATATAAGGAAAACCGAAGAGGGTAAAGGAAATCTCGGAACAAAACGTAATGGGCCTGTTGCGCCATTTTTAAGCGTGCCAGTAGGGCTTCCTTTTTGAAATCACTCGGATGTACCATTGTGAAGCACACCGATAAACCAATGCTGTTCAACGGGCCATCCAAATATTTGTTTCCTTGGACCCATTTTTTTGTCTTTGAACCGTTACACTGTCAAGCCCTGATGGTCTCTCACGCTTTACCAACAAACCGAATAAACTGCTGATTGGAAACCCTTGAGAACATATTCCCGTCAAAACCGTATTATTTCATTTGAAAGAAACCTCACAGAAGCTTTTCTACGCTCGAAGGGGTTTTTCTTATTTTGCCTGGTTTTCATCGATTAAATGGGCCTGTTGCAAGGTGCGGGGATTTGCCAATTGATAACTGATTCCACTGGCAAATTCCACGAAAATTACGATGGCACTACTAAAAAAGCCTAAAGTGACCTCTCAAACTCTAAAGAAAGTTGTTTTTGGAGCCGAGCCATTCGAAACGGTCACTCCTACGCGCGGTAACGGATCCGGTACCCTCGTTCGATACGTCACATTGCATGACAAACCTGGTCTTTTCATCACTTACAATGTACCTATTTTCCAAAAAACACTTATGTACGTAGAGGAACTAATGGTATATCCCNTATGTATTCTAAAATTTTATATTATACATATATTATAAATATATTGTACATATAGTATACATATAATATGCATATAATATAGAATGGCCTTTTCAACCCTCAGCTCAAAATATATTATATATATTTTATACTTATAAAAGATATATATTAAACATATATTATAGAATGCTCTATATTATATGTATATTATATGTATAAATTTTCAGATGTGCTACTAGGGATACGTTGTTTCTAAACTAAGCCAGAAGTGCAGTTCTAAATTGCAAAATGTAGTCAATTTGAGGGCAAGGAATCGATGAATCACTACCGATGTGCTACGTGAAAAAATGAGCGATCCCCATCATCGCTTCATCTCCACAAAATTAATGTGCAAATGATGACCGGCTCCGGTATCAAGGTTCTGTGACAAAATCATTTTTGTCATGGGAGTCTCCAAAATGTATACATCATACCTACTGATTAAATGTCCAATTACGTAGAATACCGAATGTCACTCGCGTGCAGACTTTAGAGTGACGGCGTGACGGGTGCGCGAAGCGCACCCAAAGCGGCTAGTATCATTAAGGTGATTCGATGGACGCCATATTTTGTGTTAGAACGGCATGCGATATATCGCATCAATTGGTTCCATTATTTCAGCTACTCGTCATTTTTCTCCAATTTTGAGATCGCAATTCTGTTGTCAGGAGACTAAAGCACTCACTTACCAATTGGACTACATTTTGCAATTTGGAATTATAAAGTCTAGCCCGATTTGAAAACAACGTACGTGCCATTCGTTTCCCTATGCACATAAGCGTTTTTTTTTCAAATGAGCCAGGATTTATAGTTCCAAATTGCAAAATGCAGTCCAATTTTAACAAAGAAATTCAACGTAATAAAGGCGTGGTTTTTTCAGAGATAAAACATCGCATTCGAGTGCAGTTTCGATATCAGTATCAAATGTGATGTTTTCTCTCTGAAAAAACCACGCCTTTATTACGTTGAATTTCTTTGTTAAAATTGGTAAGTGAGTGCTTTAGTCTCCTGACAACAGAATTGCGATCTCAAAATTGGAGAAAAATGACGAGTAGCTGAAAGAATGGAGCCAATTGATGCGATATATCGCATGCCGTTCTGACACAGAATATGGCGTCCATCGAATCACCTTAATGAAAGAATGGAATTCCACTTCACCACTTCAATTCCACCTTTTTCTCCCTCACTCGAGTGGTTGCCAGATTGTGCGCTAAATGTGGATATTTTACAAGGGTTTAAACTAGGAAAAGTGCTGAAAAAGCAACTTATCTGGCAACAGTAGTCTGGGTGGAACGAGAGGCTGCTGTCCTGGACAAACTCACGATTTAGCCGGAAATGTCATCAAAACAAAATGGTTCCGTTTTAAACATCAAATGGATACTAGAGAAAGCTATACGAGTACTAAAATAATAGTTGTTAATGGTCACAGATGCTACAAAAAAAAGGAAAACATTAAGGGAAGATGAAATGATGATGCAATTACTTATTCAATTGGAGAGAAGAAAACAAAAACATCAGGAGAATCTATTTGCAGTGAAAGTACCTAAGAAAAAGCCACAAGTGGTCTCATAGCGATTCCGAACTCGAACTTTAGAGTAGATGGGGGGTAAGAGTACACATTTTTTGGTTCTTCCCGTATTTCCGTGACCGAATCGACTTTAAAGGCGGAGAAAGTGGTCAGGCGCCTACTGCTAGGCCTCGCGCACAAATGCCCTCCGTTCTCCGAATTTAGGAATCAAATCCATGGCCATGACGATTGTTCTTAAAGAATTTGAAACTGCGTACTTTTGCCCCATTTGATGGGACAAAAGTAAGCAGGTGAATTTTTTTTTTTTTTTTAAACATCTCTTGGACTCCACATCGCTGTTAAATCCCAGGAAACGACTGAGACTGGTCTCAAAGGGTTCCAATAGTGCCCCACCACTCTTACTGTGAAATAAAATTAATAATTCTGTCTCCACAAGCTCCCAAATAATTTTCGTAGTCAATTTTTTTTAACAGGAAAAGAAAAAAGTTTAATCTTTTAAAATCGTTAAAAAAGTTTCTGTCAAAACACACTCGCTTCGTACAAAACTTCGCGTCAACAAGTGAAAGTCAATGTTGCCAACAACCAACACCCGGTACCGTCATAAATTCAAACAAAGCGCGCGAAAAAAGTGCGGTGCGTGTTTTTACCCCGTGCGTACTCTTACCCCCACCTAACCTACTATTGTTGAGCAGTTTTTAGACCCCTACGCCACCGATTATCTTTTTAGGAAGTAAAGATGCTTCAACGAGTCAAATTGCAGGAGATCCACGGTTGTCCCTTTCCTCCACACGATGGGACTGACGTCCCAGTCAAATGCGTTTTTGGAAAAATTATCGATCCCCATCATCGCTTCATCTCTACAAAAGTAATGTGCAAAATGATAACACGCTCCAGTAAGAAGGTTCTGTGGCAAAATCACTTTTGTCTTGAGAGTCTCCAAAATGTATACATCATAGTGATCAAATGTCAAACTTCTCAAAAAAATGGCTCGCGTAGCAAGCCGATTGTTACCGGCGCCGGGGGTCCAGAACGGGTAGAATACAAATATATATAAAAAAAGTCTAATTTTCTCAAAATTGATAGTTGAAATTTTCATGATGTGAGTTCTTTCTTTTTTATCCAACCACCGGTGATTACTTTATTCGGAGTTTTTAGAATTTGCCTAACATGGAGGCTCTCGTGTCAAGGTATAAACTGAAAGATTGTTTCTATTTTCGGTCAGAACCAGAGAGTATCATAGAGTATCATAGAGTGTAGATAGAGGAGAGGGTACATTTTATTAGAAGATTGTGGCCAAGTGTGCTGCGACCTGGTGGCCGGCCACTGCGAGCTGGTCACCCGATGCCTTCGATGCGCGAAAAGTTACCGTCAGTGCTCAGTAGTTGATTTATTCCGTTTAGGTATTGTTTCATTAATTTACCTATAAATTTTTTATTTTTCTTATTTATTCATCTATTTTTTAGTTGTACTAATAGGGCAATATTAAAATAACTGTTTTGGTTTCATTTAGTGATTCGTTCATCTTTGATAATTTTTTTTAAGTGTTTTAGAAAAAATATTTTATTATTATTTTTTTTTAAATTTTTCTTTTATAACCAGCCATAACAATTTGTGCTGTTTTTATGAAGAATCGCAATGATTTCTAATGTATTACAATTTCAATCCTTAAGTAATGGATACTTAAATTATGTTTAGATCTTGGATTTTTTTGTAGAGGGGTGGGAGGCAAAGCACATATTTAGATGTTGTTATTGATATGTTAAGAACTACATAATTTTACTATGGAAAATTCAAACATACACGGGTAATATGTAGTAAATTAAAGCTGAAACTCTAAAATATTGCTGAGCACTTCTCTAATACCAGCGTATTAGAAATTCCCCGCTTATTTTTTCCTTTTCTTGAGAGATGGAGAGGGAGGGAGGAGGAATGGAGAGATACCTAGAGAGAGAGGAGGGTTTCGAACATTGAAACGGAAAAAACATTGAATAACAATAAGTATCTTTATTAACATTTTTCTACCTGATGAGGGTGCTGGCGCTCTTCCTGTTGAGCGTTCACCACGTTTTGAGCTCGCCCACTCGGGAGAGCTCTTTGCGATCGATTTCTTTTAGCATTACCAGTGTCCGTGGCGACAAATGGATGGTTCTCGTTGCCGTCGGAGGAACGGCCAAAATCCAATTGATTTCAACGTCCAAAAGTTGAATTTTGTCTTTTTCCGCGGGTTCCAGTTTTCCTTGTTCGAACATTTCCGTTCCTTCATTCAACTGAGGATTAATTGTTCCTAATTTGCTACAC